GAACTTGAAGTTTGAACTTGAAGTTTGAATTTGAAGTTTGAACTTGAAGTTTGAACTTGAAGGTTCAACTTGAAGTTTGAACTTGAAGTTTGAACTTGAAGGTTGAACTTGAAGGTTGAACTTGAAGATTAAACTTGAAGTTTGAACTTGAAGGTTCAACTTGAAGTTTAAACTTGAAGGTTAAACTTGAAGTTTGAACTTGAAGGTTCAACTTTAAGTTTAAACTTGAAGGTTGAACTTGAAGTTTGAACTTGAAGTTTGAACTTGAAGGTTCAACTTGAAGGTTGAACTTGAAGTTTAAACTTGAAGTTTAAACTTGAAGTTTGAACTTGAAGGTTGAACTTGAAGGTTGAACTTGAAGTTTAAACTTGAAGTTTGAACTTGAAGTTTGAACGAAGGTTCAACTTGAAGTTTAAACTTGAAGGTTGAACTTGAAGTTTGAACTTGAAGGTTCAACTTGAAGGTTGAACTTGAAGTTTAAACTTGAAGTTTGAACTTGAAGGTTGAACTTGAAGGTTGAACTTGAAGTTTAAACTTGAAGTTTGAACTTGAAGTTTGAACGAAGGTTCAACTTGAAGTTTAAACTCGAAGGTTGAACTTGAAGTTCGAACTTGAAGGTTCAACTTGAAGGTTGAACTTGAAGGTTCAACTTGAAGGTTGAACTTGAAGTTTAAACTTAAAGTTTGAACTTGAAGGTTGAACTTGAAGGTTGAACTTGAGGTTTAGACTTGAAGTTTGAACTTGAAGTTTGAACTTGAAGGTTCAACTTGAAGTTTAAACTTGAAGGTTGAACTCGAAGTTTAAACTTGAAGGTTGAACTTGAAGGTTGAACTTGAAGGTTGAACTTGAAGTTTGAACTTGAAGTTTGAACTTGAAGTTTGAACTTGAAGTTTGAACGAAGGTTCAACTTGAAGTTTGAACTTGAAGTATAAACTTGGAGTTTGAACTTGAAGTTTGAAGTTGAAGGTTCAACTTGAAGGTTGAACTTGAAGTTTAAACTTGAAGTTTGAACTTGAAGGTTGAACTTGAAGGTTGAACCTGAAGTTTGAACTTGAAGGTTCAACTTGAAGGTTGAACTTGAAGGTTCAACTTGAAGGTTGAACTTGAAGTTTGAACTTGAAGGTTGAACTTGAAGGTTCAACTTGGAGGTTGAACTTGAAGTTCGAACTTGAAGGTTCAACTTGAAGGTTGAACTTGAAGTATAAACTTGAAGTTTGAACTTGAAGTTTGAAGTTGAAGGTTCAACTTGAAGGTTGAACTTGAAGTTTAAACTTGAAGTTTGAACTTGAAGGTTGAACTTGAAGGTTGAACCTGAAGTTTGAACTTGAAGGTTCAACTTGAAGGTTGAACTTGAAGGTTCAACTTGAAGGTTGAACTTGAAGTTTGAACTTGAAGGTTGAACTTGAAGGTTCAACTTGGAGGTTGAACTTGAAGTTTGAACTTGAAGTTTGAACTTGAAGATTGAACTTGAAGTTTGAACTTGAAGGTTGAACTTGAAGGTTCAACTTGAAGTTTGAACTTGAAGGTTGAACTTGAAGTTTGAACTTGAAGGTTGAACTTGAAGGTTGAACTTGAAGGTTCAACTTGAAGTTTGAACTTGAAGGTTGAACTTGAAGTTTGAACTTGAAGTTTGAACTTGAAGTTTGAACTTGAAGGTTGAACTTGAAGTTTGAACTTGAAGGTTGAACTTGAAGGTTCAACTTAGAGTTTGAACTCGAAGGTTGAACTTGAAGGTTGAACTTGAAGGTTCAACTTGAAGTTTGAACTTGAAGGTTCAACTTGAAGTTTGAACTTGAAGGTTGAACTTGAAGGTTCAACTTGAAGTTTGAACTTGAAGGTTGAACTTGAAGTTTGAACTTGAAGTTTGAACTTGAAGGTTGAACTTGAAGTTTGAAAGGGGGCCTATGGGGTTAATCCTTGCCCGACTGAATATTGTGACATATACATATTATTGAGTACCATCAGAGGATCACATTCATTGAAGAAAACTTTAATCCACGTGTATTTTCAAAAAGTTATGATTTTTTTCGAAATTCCGAAAAAGGGGGCCTATGGGGTTAATTCTTGCCCGACAAAGTATTGTGAGATATACATATTATTGAGTACCATCAGAGGAACACATTCATAGAAGAAAACTCCCATCCACGTCTATTTTGAAAAAGTTATGAATTTTTTTCGAATTTCCGAAAAAGGGGGCCTATGGGGTTAATTCTTGCCCGACAAAATATTGTGAGATATACATATTATCGAGTACCATCAGAGGAACACATTCATATAAGAAAGCTCCCATCCACGTGTATTTTGAAAAAGTTATGAATTTTTTTCGAATTTCCGAAAAAGGGGGCCTATGGGGTTAATTCTTGCCCGACAAAATATTGTGAGATATACATATTATTGAGTACCATCAGAGGAACACATTCATAGAAAAAAACTCCCATCCACGTGTATTTTGAAAAAGTTATGAATTTTTTTCGAATTTCCGAAAAAGGGGGCCTATGGGGTTAATTCTTGCCCGACAAAATATTGTGAGATATACATATTATTGAGTACCATCAGAGGAACACATTCATAGAAGAAAACTCCCATCCACGTGTATTTTGAAAAAGTTATGAATTTTTTTCGAATTTCCGAAAAAGGGGGCCTATGGGGTTAATTCTTGCCCGACAAAATATTGTGAGATATGCATATTATTGAGTACCATCAGAGGAACACATTCATAGAAGAAAACTCCCATCCACGTGTATTTTGAAAAAGTTATGATTTTTTTCGAAATTCCGAAAAAGGGGGCCTATGGGGTTAATTCTTGCCCGACAAAATATTGTGAGATATTCATATTATTGAGTACCATCAGAGGAACACATTCATAGAATAAAACTCCTATCCACGTGTATTTTGAAAAAGTTATGAATTTTTTTCGAATTTCCGAAAAAGGGGGCCTATGGGGTTAATTCTTGCCCGACTGAATATTGTGACATATACATATTATTGAGTACCATCAGAGGATCACATTCATTGAAGAAAACTTTAATCCACGTGTATTTTCAAAAAGTTATGATTTTTTTCGAAATTCCGAAAAAGGGGGCCTATGGGGTTAATTCTTGCCCGACAAAGTATTGTGAGATATACATATTATTGAGTACCATCAGAGGAACACATTCATAGAAGAAAACTCCCATCCACGTCTATTTTGAAAAAGTTATGAATTTTTTTCGAATTTCCGAAAAAGGGGGCCTATGGGGTTAATTCTTGCCCGACAAAATATTGTGAGATATACATATTATCGAGTACCATCAGAGGAACACATTCATATAAGAAAGCTCCCATCCACGTGTATTTTGAAAAAGTTATGAATTTTTTTCGAATTTCCGAAAAAGGGGGCCTATGGGGTTAATTCTTGCCCGACAAAATATTGTGAGATATACATATTATTGAGTACCATCAGAGGAACACATTCATAGAAAAAAACCCCCATCCACGTGTATTTTGAAAAAGTTATGAATTTTTTTCGAATTTCCGAAAAAGGGGGCCTATGGGGTTAATTCTTGCCCGACAAAATATTGTGAGATATACATATTATTGAGTACCATCAGAGGAACACATTCATAGAAGAAAACTCCCATCCACGTGTATTTTGAAAAAGTTATGAATTTTTTTCGAATTTCCGAAAAAGGGGGCCTATGGGGTTAATTCTTGCCCGACAAAATATTGTGAGATATGCATATTATTGAGTACCATCAGAGGAACACATTCATAGAAGAAAACTCCCATCCACGTGTATTTTGAAAAAGTTATGATTTTTTTCGAAATTCCGAAAAAGGGGGCCTATGGGGTTAATTCTTGCCCGACAAAATATTGTGAGATATTCATATTATTGAGTACCATCAGAGGAACACATTTATAGAATAAAACTCCTATCCACGTGTATTTTGAAAAAGTTATGAATTTTTTTCGAATTTCCGAAAAAGGGGGCCTATGGGGTTAATTCTTGCCCGACTGAATATTGTGACATATACATATTATTGAGTACCATCAGAGGAACACATTCATTGAAGAAAACTTTAATCCACGTGTATTTTCAAAAAGTTATGATTTTTTTCGAAATTCCGAAAAAGGGGGCCTATGGGGTTAATTCTTGCCCGACAAAGTATTGTGAGATATAAATATTATTTAGTACCATCAGAGGAACACATTCATAGAAGAAAACTCCCATCCACGTGTATTTTGAAAAAGTTATGAATTATTTTCGAATTTCCGAAAAAGGGGGCCTATGGGGTTAATTCTTGCCCGACAAAATATTGTGAGATATACATATTATTGAGTACCATCAGAGGAACACATTCATATAAGAAAGCTCCCATCCACGTGTATTTTGAAAAAGTTATGAATTTTTTTCGAATTTCCGAAAAAGGGGGCCTATGGGGTTAATTCTTGCCCGACAAAATATTGTGAGATATACATATTATTGAGTACCATCAGAGGAACACATTCATAGAAAAAAACTCCCATCCACGTGTATTTTGAAGAAGTTATGAATTTTTTTCGAATTTCCGAAAAAGGGGGCCTGTGGGGTTAATTCTTGCCCGACAAAATATTGTGAGATATACAGATTATCATAGACCCTCAGAGAAAATCATTGATGTAAAATAGTTTCATCCATGGACATATTTTTGAGGTTTAAGTAATTTCATGGCCAGCCATGGATATAAATTGATAATGAACGACCATTGGTGGTATGGCGCGCGCCTTGAATATTAGGTGAAGTCGTGGCTGGTTTCACACTGATGAATACATCAACACTCCCCGAAAAATTAAAAAATAATAAAAAGTATGCATCAGTAGCAGGAATCTAAATGAAATAATATGTGCTATTGGACAACCAAATATGAATTTTTATCCCTTGAAAAATTGAGCCCACTCCTGAACTTAACCTCCGATTCTACCTTGGATTTTGCTACTCTATATGGCCTTTTATTTCAGGCCCATAGGGAAAAAACCAATAACTGAATTCAATGAAAACTTTATTTTTCAACTCTAACTCAAAGACAACTGTTGATTCTTATATAAAAAATTACTGCAAATTGCGATTTTGGAACTGGACCCGGCCAAACTCAACACTTTGAAGGGCTCATCTTGATGAATGGCACTGTAAGTTGTAACTGCAGATACAGGTATCTCACTCACTATCTCTCCCACAAAAGACATTTGATAAAAAAGTTTGGAAATGCCACCTGCCAATATTTTTTCCTTATAAATTTCTGCCACATGAATGCCTTTATCATCCAAAGGAAACACTGTGGAAGTTGATAAGAAACGATAGTGCCACAAGGATAATCTGGGACCTCCTCCACACAGCTGAAAGGAAAATTCATGAAAGTGAAAGGTCTCTCAGGGATTGAAAAATCAGTATTCTTACCACGTAATCTTCATTGGCACTTAGTGCCCCAATCCATTTGCCAAGTTCTGGTCTTGCAACTGATTCATTCACATGTGGTTCAATTTTATTGGACACTTTGTAGGTTCTCAGATCCCAAATATTAACTGTCCCATCTTCACCACTTGAAAGAAGATCATTTCCACTAGAAAAACAGGAGATAACACACAAAACTTATGTTAGAAACAACTTACAATTTGGTGATGCAATGTAAATAGTCAGTGTGATTGCTCAAAGTTTTCAGAAGTTTTCTAGTTTCTAAATGGAAAATATACACATTATCCCCACAAGCTGCATAAATCAGATTTTTGTCTTCATCAAATTGTAGTGCTACTACATCAGTCTTGCCTATATCATCTTTTTGCTCTGGAATTTCTATACTCCAAGCAAGCTGTGGTTTCTTGGTGGTTTTGATTGCTTTCCAACAGTAAGCAAAAATTTCCCCAACCCCACCAACTAGCAGATGGTTAGGAAGGGTTAACAGACTGTTGACTTGATAGTCACCCTTCACTGTGAACCTATTTTTGGGTGTCAGATCGTCTTTGCTGAGCAGTGCTTCTGCTTCTACTATTTTTGAAAGGCTAAAATCAAGTACATTAAGAATATGAGGTTAGGCTTCATGATTTTTCTATGTGTAGTTCGACTTACTGGAAAATTGATAATTCGCCATATATATCTCCAACAACGAGGTAATTTCCGCAAGGACTGAACGTTTGCGATAAAATTGTGTTGTAAAAGTCTTTAGTTAACATTTTGTTCTTGGGAAGAAACTGTTTTGAAATTTGAAAACAAATCAAAACAAAAACTTAACCTACACAACCTTACACAACTATATAAATGACACTGACAACTGAGACAGGGAACAGGGATCTGTAAAATCATTATGAGCCTTGATGATTTTGAAGATGAACCAGTCAAAGCTACCAAGGCACTTTAAAATTATAATTTCTCTTCTTCGATTATCGAATGATGATTATGATAAACCAGGTATAAATTTGTAAATTACATTATTATGTGACAAGGTTGAAAGCATGTTGGTAGAATTTATGATAATTTTAGAGTACAGGTAAATTGAATTAATTGAATACGTACGTTCGGCCATCTATCGGTGATCATTCAAATCAAACACTAACACTACCAGCATGGTAATTTCCTGTTATGACTTTTCGGTGTCATTTAAACTATACAGCAGAATTCTTCATATCAAAATGGTCGTCGATTGATATAATTACGCCAAGGATTACGCTTACGCTGTGTCCCAATTGATTATATAATATGATAGCTTTGAGTATGATGCTGGAATTGATGATTATTTGAGAGAAATTACTTAATTAAAGTACTACTGACTACAGTGACTGCATATAACTGTAAATTGAAGATGTACGTTCGGCCATCTATAGGTGATCATTCAAACACAACACTACCAGCATGGTAATTTCCTGTAATGACTGTTCGATGTCAAGCAAACTGTAAAGCAGAATTCTTCATATTAAAATGTGTCACGCCGACGTTTAAATGTATTTACCTAGATTTGGCGAGCAATATGGGGAATATAATCCATCAGGGGTAACTGGAATCAACCCCAACATGTTTTTTTCAAATGCAACCTTATGAGGTCACAAAAAATTAAAATATAATGAAAATACGTTGAAAATATATCAAACTTTAAAATTATTATGAAGTTTGATATATTTTCAACGTATTTTCATCAAAATATCGACTTTAAATGACAGTGATACAGTTCATGTCCACTTCGTTTCGAATTGTGAATACGAAAAAAAAACAAAATTTATTTTAGCGGCTCTATAAAAACACTGCAACACAACAGCATATAGCAGTTCTGATGGCAAGAATTGCTATAAATTGTTCAACACACATTTTTAGCGATTGATACGTTGAAAAAAAAAAGAATTTTAAAATTACATTTCACATTTATGCAACCTTTCAAAGATGAGAAACTGAAATTTGACTAGTACGCTGGATTCCTCTTTCCACTAGCTTTCCAATGAGGGGTCTCAAGCCATAGGGTTACATTTGAAAAAATCATGTTGAGGGTGGTTTCAGCTACTCCTGAAGGGATATATTCACGATATTGCTTGCAAAAGGTGAGTAAATACATCAAATCGTTGATGTATGCCGGGAATTTTCAGAAAGAATGTTCACCTTCCCGCAAACGAATTTATTCCAGTTATAAAGTCAAAGTCTCCACACTGTATACACCAAGTATATGATACTAGATATTGATTCAAAACATCGATCATATGGTATCAACCGGTATCAACATGTTCGTAACAAAATACTCTTCTCAGACATGGTAATGAGCCACCCTTGTTTTATTTCAAAAAATTGGGTTAACATTAAAATAACAATATTGTAAACCTGTGAAACAAATGGAGAGTAAAACTTCATCAAAACTATTTTACTTTGCCAACTTGTTTTAGCTCACTCTAGATTAGAAATTGAAAAATGAAAATTTCAGGATGATAAAAATGTCAATAAGTGGCAAATATGGTGTTGTTGTACTCACAATTTTATTCTCTATATAGAGATAAGTGGAAATATACTATAAATATTCATGTACTATACTTATACACCGGATTTCATTTGTTTATGTGTAGAAACAAAAAAGTTATAAGGGTGAGCCACTCTTGAGAAATACCTGGTATACGATAAATTGGTTTCAGATTATATGAAGCGAGAAGCTGTAATTTCAGGGTATAATTCACTAGAATTGTTGTATTAGTGCTTTCCTCGCTTTCCTATATTCAGGCCTGTGTTCAAATCCGGGAAATTCGTTTAGCTTCTGCTTTTATGCTGTCGAAATGAGTTTCAGTGAAAAAGAAAATAGAGTGATCAGTTGAAGAATAACGTTTAATGGATTTCATGTAGAATTCCATGGTACATCATTTTCAGAACTTCAAATAAAAGAGTTCTACAGGGTGTCTGTAAAAGGTCTTCACAAAAACATACAGACACCCTGTATAGTAGTAGTAGTATAATTATTATGAAAAATATCGTGACAATACCTTTATTGATTGATATCTAGTGAAGTTGAGGCAATTTTATGATTCGACCTAGTATGACTAGACAAATATTGCATAAATAATCTTCTATTATACAGTGAAAGTCAGTTTCATGAAGAACTGAATTTCCAAGTAATTTCCAAGTATATTGATTATAATTACGTTCACTGAGATGCGCATTACCCATACCCACCTGAGATTTACTTTCTCATCCTCACTATAAGAATTCCACAACTTTGACTCACTCTCTTGCTTGATCCTAACGAAATATTTCGAATATTTTGAATAGTTTAGATAGCAATCTACACTCAAATCGATAAGAAGTGTCCGAGAGAAGAATGCTTAACAATCAGTGGCGTACGAAAAAACCCATTCATTAAATCGTGGATTCATTAAAAATCACGAGATGATTCTACCGTGAAGTTTCACCAATAGGGAGTTGAAATAAAAATTGAAATAAAATGAGTCAATGTTCACACAGTCATTCTTGTCTCTCATCACCTATTAGAATTTTTGAGATATTTTCAATCTATTTCTCCAAATTGCTTTCCTCCCTAGGTATGTATAGGTTAGTGTTTATAGCCATATTCTTTTTCTCCCATCTCCACCCATTTTACTGTGGAAACCTCAAGGTGAAGAATTGAATGGTTTGAACCCAAGTAGCACATACATATATACAGTGCGTTCATAAAGTGTGGAAACGCTCCATTATCTTAAGATATAATTATTTTCAGAGGTAAAGCTCGGACAGGTCGATTTTGTATTTCAGTCTTCCATCTTTTTTTACAAAAAAATAATTTTTTTCCCACCACCTTACAAGATATGACGTCATCGATATTTTTTTTAAATTGAAAGGGTATATTTTTATATCAAAAATTGAAAGCCCATATTTTTCTGAGTTCAAGAGTTCAACCATACCACATACGTCATATCTTACACTTCAAGTTACAGTATACTGAGTATAAAAGAAACCAGTGTTCATATTTCTCAACATTCATTTAGTTATTTATTTGCAATGAAAATATCATAAGAAGTAGTGAAAATAAACAAATAACAAATCTACTTCATTTTCACTACTTCTTATGATATTTTCATTGCAAATAAATAATTAAATGAATGTTGAGGAATATGAACACTGGTTTCTTTTATACTCAGTATACTGTAACTTGAAGTGTAAGATATGACGTATGTGGTATGGTTGAACTCAGAAATGGGCTTTCAATTTTTGATATAAAAATATACCCTTTCGATTTAAAAAAAATATCTATGACGTCATATCTTGTAAGGTGGTGGGGGAAAAAATTATTTTTTTGTAAAAAAAGATGGAAGACTGAAATACAAAATCGACCTGTCCGAGCTTTACCTCTGAAAATAATTATATCGTAAGATAATGGAGCGTTTCCACACTTTATGAACGCACTGTATAATATCGGAAAAATATTTTGAACGTAATATTGGCGAGATTGGATAAATATTCGAGTTATGTTGGTCATGAAACGTGAGATCAATTTTGGCGCGATATGAAAAGTGAACATTTGACAATATTGGCTGGAAATATTGGTGGATCATTGAGAATTATTAAGCTGCTATGTTCTTGTCTCTTGAAAATATTGGTAGGATATTTTCATACCAATATATTGGGGAGACATACAATGTGAAAATGTGAAATTTTTTTTGAGGTATATTGGTTTTTTCCAAATTGCTTCCCTCCCGGAGTATAGTACCTACGTGAATTTGATATTACAACTGGACTGATTGAAATCTGCCATCGTTTTGATAATCTATAGAGCAAATAACGTCCCACCTCATAATGAAAAAAATACATGGTTTGCAAGACACCAATACAGAGTTTTGAAAGGATCAAGTCATAGTAGGATTGAGGGCTACTAGTTGAAAAACATGTTCAAAACAATCTTCAACTATTGAACCAATACCAAAATGTTGTTGCCAATCACAGTTAGGCACTACTATAACTTGACTGGTTTGCCTCAATTGAGGTAAATCGAGATTGACGAAGATTGTTTTGAAAGTTAACAGTTTCTTCGTTCTATCCGAAACTATGTGATATATTTTTAAAATCCGTTGAAATTTCGCAATTGACAATCCGGGAGAATGGTTTATCAATAAAACTATGATGACGTCATTCAAGTGTTCCGCCAATGGTTTTTTCTGTTTTATCACAGTAAATTTGTGTCGAAAAGATTATGCAAATAAATATTATTTTACTACTCAATAATGGGAATAATAACGCTCATTCAGGAAGTGTTTTGCACAAAATTTTATATGTGTAATATGAATATATGTGGAGCTTTTGAAAAAGAAAACAATATTTTATTCTCATGGTAATGAACATGAAGAGAACACAGAGGTAATCGAATAGAATTACTTGATTGTGCATATACAAGGTGTCCTTGAAAGGTCTGTATAAAATCTCGGCACATAGTGCTGAGGTCAAAATAAGGCAATTCAGAGCAACTGATTACAAAACCCGTCCGCCATATTGTATCCGCCAGAAACCCCAGATACCAATTTATAATAGAATCGGATCATATATTTACAGAACTCGTTCATAATATTGAATCTGCCATTTTTAATTCTTCATTTCTGACGTAGGAATCATAATCACCAACTACGAAAACCGCCAGATAGCAATTTTGAATAGAATTGGATTATAATTACAAAACTCATACGCCATATTGCATCCGCCATCTTCAAAGTATGACGAAAGAATCATAATCTCCGACCCAAAAAACAAAAAATTACAAAACTCCTCCGCCATATTGGATCCGCCATATTG